GGAACACACAAATAGTGAGGACAAGTTTGCTCAGGTCAGCGGTGTCAAACTAACAGATAGATGAGGTGATATATCAGAAACTATTCTAGCACTAGTCTGTGCCAATCAGGCTTTATAGTTAGGAGAGTCTTAATTATTTTAAATAATCTTATTGGTCAAAGGTCACTAGGATTTTTTTTCAAGAGCTGTGACTTAAATGTAAGCACAAACTGGTGGTCTTCCAAGTAAGAAGGCTCCTGGGTTCGAGTCCCGGCCAACCCGGTCCCTTTTTTTGTTGATTTTGCATGTTCTCCCTGTGCCTATGTGGGTTCTCTCCAGATGCTCTGTCTTCCTTCCACACAGGCCAGAGGCATGCAGCTTAGCTTGATTGATTACTCTAAATTGGTGTTTGTTTGGTGACTTTAAATTGCCTTGTGTGTGCGGTTGTCTGTTTCTAAGTGTCAGCCCTGTGATAGACTGGCGACCCGTCCAGGGTGTACCCCGTTATAGATTAAGCATGTATGGAATGGGGGCTAAATAATTATGCTGTCCACTTCCTGTGTTTCTTAAGTGGAAATGAAATAAATTGAACTTCAAATCAATCATGCTGAAAAACTGTTTTAGCCCACATAATAGTGTAGATACAATTTTTTTTGCATACACACTTGCATGCATACCCATATATGCATGGCTGTCCTTCTGAATTGGGATAAATAGCAGTTTCTCACAAAGATTTGGCCTTTACAGAAATAACGCCTTTCCCCATCAGTCCATTGTGCTGGTATCCGGTATCCAAGGAGATCTGAGCACCCCTTAATCCAATCCAGTCTTTTCATTGGCATCCAAGTGGGCAATTCTCAATGGGTTATCTGTCCAACATGGCAAACACAAAAACCTCCAAAAGGCAAATATTAAACTGGTCAATCTCAGAGTTCCAAAAACAATATAACTCATTTTTTCCAAAACATGTTTTTTTCTTTGCATTTGCACTGTGTGCATTTACTGCCTGTGTCACTTATCAGCAGTTCAGGGTTTCTTTCTCAGTACTTTCACATTGCAACATTTGTTTCTTCTATCTATACATCTGCTTGAGTGCAGGCCCAGTTTATGTTCATGTTCATCTGTACAGGTCTCTATTTTTATTCTTTTTATCTTGTTTCCTAATGAACATTCCTTTGTGTGTTTGCATTGTTTATTGCTTGTTTATACTGTTTATTTTGTTATACTATACAGCCTTATATTGGTATATTGTTTACTTGCCCCTTGCTGTTGCCTTACATAAGGATACGTACATCCGCATTGAGAGCCACTGTACCAGAGTCAAATTCCTCGTGTCCAACACACCTGGCCAATAAACCTGATTCTGATGTTCCTGTTCTCCAAACATATTATGACCTGTAAGTCTGTGAGTGTTCAACAGTGCAAACATGATAACGTATATTTAATCCCTCACATCTAACCTATTTTTATATGTATGTATATGTATCTTGGAAAATTCATGTTATCCTTCCGTGTTCTAATACTGGAAGTGTCCCAAAACTTTAAAAGTGTTTTCCTTATGTGTGATCAACTACTTACAGTAAGATGCCCTATTGCCGTCAGTTTATCTAAAACATCTGGATCTGCATAAACCGACGGTGCCACAACTGCCCTGTGTGTGCTTCCTTCTGTCAGTGTGCAGGTGCTGCATGTCAGTGTGTGTGAAGAACGGATCTGCATGGGAACATTCGTACACTGGCTGTTACATCCGGCACAGCAGCTGGCAGACAGAAGCCATGGAGCTGTTATTAGGGTGGACCGTGGCAAAGCAAAACACATCATATGCTCATGTAATTTACAGAGCAAGTCATGATGTATTATTTCACTGGTGGACACTCTATTCATCAGAAAACTGACAGTATGTCTTGGGATAGTCATTATTTGGTTTTGGTTTGTTTTTTTATTTGTAATTAAGATTTAGCAATCAGCCAAGAGCATATATATGTGTCATGGATGTAAAGGTAAACAGCTGGTTTGTGTGCTTCTCATAAATACTTCATCACCTTAACATTTTAATAATGATAATGCTAGTATATAAGTAATTAATAAGTAAAATTCTGAAAATGCTTCATATATAAAAATGGACACTTAGCAAGGTTTGCTGTCCAGTGCTGATTCAAGCTGTTTGGATCTGTCAGCCTGCTGGTTTATTGAGTTTCTAACTGATGTAGACCAAGAGGTCATATACAGTTGGGTGACAAATTAAAGGAAAAACCAACATAGTGTTTCAGTACTCCTTGACATTGAAGTCTCTGAGCTCTACTGGAGGGATGAGCAAACGATAGTCCCTCATTTGGTGTTTGAATGATGATGATGGAGATGCTGTCTAACACAGTGCTCCAAAGTCACCCATAGGTGTTCAGCTGGGCTGAGATCTGGCCACCCTGATGCCATAGCATATGATTCAAACCATTTACATGCTCATCAAACCATTCAGTGACCCCTCACTTCATATGAATGGACCACTCCCATCAGGATAGAAGTGTTTTCTCATAGGTCCCCTTGTCCCCTCTAATTGGACAAACCTTCAGTGTTTTTCTTGCCAAAGAGGCAATATAAGCAGTTACAAAAACCAAGCATTTCTATTTTAATTTGTTATGTTTCAAATCAAAAAGAAGCTCAGTAAAACAGGCAGGATGGCCGGCAGAAGAGGCAAACTAAGGTAATCCTGCAGTGTTTAATCACAAGTAAAAATAAAGCTGTTGAAGTGCTGTAGCAAACACGACAGACGCCATGGTTACAAACCACTGAGAAAATGGCAGACACTGTGAATGGGCTCAAAATGAGAAGCAGTTTAAAGGGGCTTTAGAGTGAAGTTGGCATCATGTTGAATGCTACATGACTTGCTTGGACAATTCTGGCCCACAGGGCGTTCCTTCATGTGTCAGCTCATAAGGCTGCAGAATTGAACTCAAATGACCAGAGACTGTGCTCATATTGGTAATTAAACATAAAAGTTTGTGATTTCAAAATGATTTTTCCCATTCAGTATTCAATTTGGGCTGGAGATAATTTAATTAATTACTTTCATGTTATAAGATACTGTAGGATTAGTTGCTCCTTCAGGGTCTCCTCTCATAAAACCTTCTCAAAACCCAGTGAATAATGTCAAAAATGTGTTGACACACTGTTCATATGGACATGAGCAAACAGCTCAATAAAAAATAAAGCACACTATAAATGACTACAACCCATATGTATATGTAAAACCAAATCCCTCTGAACTCAGAGAAGACAAGTCTTCCTAAAACTTTGGCCAAACAACATCTGGTTTAGTATATATATACGAAGAAGTCACTGCCATATTTGGAAAACTACAAAGAAAAGATGTTGTGCACCACAATCCACAGAAGACTATCAAATGAGTTTAATTCATTCAACTTGCCTATAAAGCTAAAGTGCACTTATAAATTGAGACAATGCTTTATAAACTAATCCCCAACATGACTGGATATTTGATTATGTCAGTTTTTACTGAAGCTCGTGACTGGCCATTAATTTAACAGTTTCTCTGTGGAGTTGAACAAAATTTATGTCATATCTTGGAGAAGTTTCATGAAATGATGTCTCTGCTGGAGTTTCTACAAACACAAAACATCACCAGTGATTCTAGGAGTCAGGGTAGACAGTGAAAAAGCAGCGGTGCCAGGTCAAGGGAAGTGATGAACATGTAAGCAGAACTGAGCTCATGTAATTTATCAACTCCGAGGCCCCAGGAAGAGGAGAGTCACAGAAAAGCTCCACACACAGCTGGGGACTGGACAGGAAACTCCATCCAAGCTAGTTATTATCTCCTCCAGCTCATGTGCAAAAAGAGAGAATTGTGTTACTATTAGATCCCTGTGGATAGCCATGCTCAAAATCTAGTGTGAAATGGAGTGAGAACACAGAGTCCAGCTACGGTGTAACAGCATTAGAAA